GCTTCAGTTAGCAGCAGTAGCGAAGGAATCGCTCGATCGGGTTCAATTAACAGCCATCGATCGATCGCTCGGGTTCAATAACGCGTAGCCTGCAGTGCAATCGCTCGAGTTCAGTTAGAGCCCAACGCCTCGCTCGGGTTCAGTTAGAGCCAACGCCTCGCACACACGCGCGTACGTGTACGAGATAAACGTGCGTCGCTCGGCCCCCGACCTCCCACCGTAACCGGGAACTCTCCAAAAGTTTCCTCCCCCTCGCTTCTACCATAGTTTTTTCAGTTATGGACGGCCCAAAGAATGTCATGCAGCTGCATCTCCGGCCCGCCCAGGACGAAAAGCCCATTTTCTGTCATGATTTTTTGTCATAGAAGTAGGAGCCCACCACATCTATGATGATACCGGGTTTTGTCACAATTATCGTCATAGAAGTGTCATATGTATGACAGAAAAAATTCCGTTCGGTCCAAAATGTCACAGATGTGTCTTTTTTTGTAGTGTCCACGGGTTGTAGCCGGAGGCCCACGAAGGGGCCACCCGAAAACTGCTCCTGCTGCTGACGGGGCTGGCCGGCGCCCTGGGGCTGTTGCTGACCGCCGCGACGGCCCCCGCGGCGCCGTTTGATGGGAGGGGCAGGCGGCCCATAGGGCAGCGGGAGCAGCCCCGGCTGCTGGGTAGCCGGGTACGGCGGTGGCACCGGGAACGGCGCAGTGTGGCACTGCGGCGGGGGCGCGGCCGGCGGCAAGAGCGGTGTGGATGGCCCTCGCCTTCACCTGCTTCATCCGCCACTCCTGCAAGCAGAGGTACGCGACGAACTTGGCGAATGACGGGTTGGGGATGAGGCTAAGGTTCGTCGCGGCGTTGCCGAAGTCCTCGTTGAGCCTGGCGGTGAACGTGCTGAGGAGGAGGTCATCATCGATCTTTGCATGAATATCGCGGAGCTCGTTAGCGAGAGTCTTCAGGCGGCGACAATAGTCGTCGACGGAGGTGTTGTCCTGGTGATACTCAAAAAACTCTTGCTGCAAAAAAACTCGATGTTGGAGCTGGTTGTCAGTGAAGAGCCCGTTCAGCTTGGTCCACACGGCGCAGGCATCGTCACCATCCGCCACGACCGTCTGGAAGAGGTCCGGCGAGATGGTGAGGAAGAACCAGCAGCTGATCATGGTGTCGATGGTGGACCAGTCATGGAACTCGGGATGAGGCTGGAGTCGACGGTGCCGTCCACGTGGTCGATGAGGTGAACTCCCGGAACACGAGGGAAAATACGTCTTCCACGTGTAGTAGGAGGAGTCCGCCTGCGAGAGACAAACCGGCACCCACTCGAACATGTTGAGGTTGCGGATGTCGTTGACGTCGGAAGGGTTGGCGTCGGCAAACGGGTTGGAGTTGGTTGACGCAGAGGAGGTGACTGATGACATGGCGAGGCAGGTAGTAGCAAGGCATGGCAGCGGCGGGCGATGCGGCTTGCAGGATGGCAGCAGCTAGCGAGCGGATCGATCAACGCATGCGGCTGGCGGGGTGCGTGCGGGATTGGGCGAAACGGGCTGGTGGCAGCTAGCGAGCAGATCGGTCAATGCATGCGGCTGGTGGGGTGCGTGCCGGATTTGGGGAAACGGACTGGTGGCAGCGAGCGAGCGGGCGATGCGGCGTTGCGGGCTAGCGATTAGCGAGCGGACGACGGCTGGCATTGGCGAATCGGGCACTGCAGCGGGCATTGGCAGGCCCGGCTGTAGCTGATTGGGCACTGCAGCGGGAGGAGCACGCGCGGGGCTGGCAGGGAGAGGCTAGCAACGGGCGTTGGTGCGCGCGGTTGCAGCGGATCGGGCAGCGCGGCAGATGGATGGGCACGCACGGGGCTGGCGGGGAGGCGGCGACGCGAAGGAGGCGCGCGGCGGCGACGGCTGCAGCGAAAGACTAGGGGTAAAACCTAAAAACTGATACCATGTATGATTGCACGATGTGTTGCTCTTCATGCATGGACACACACATATATATATAATATACAAAGGTAGGTCACGGACCTTAACTATACAAAAAATTAGAAGACAAGCCCAATGCACATAATACATATACTCAACACTATCAACAGCGCATGCTTTCAAAACATTATCTTGGATGAGCTTATTTTTCTTTGTTTTCGCTAGAGGATAGACACATAGTTGCTAGTTTATTTTAAGGTGGTAAAACATTGCTGGTTTCCTCAGCATCTCATCCACGTCGCCACTCTGTTTTCGCGCACCCTGCTCAACACGTCTGAACTCGATCGATCAGCAGGCCGGAGTTGACCCGCCGGCGGCGTGCCCCGCGCGACCGCGGCCCCTCGGGCGGCCGCGAGCCGTTCCCATTCCTGAATAAAGAAAGAGGAGGAAGAGAAGCCGAGTTCCTCGAATGGTAAGCAGGCGTTGACCAGAGCAGAGTGGATCACATCGCCACCGCCACCACCACCGCCTGATGATTGCTCGAAAGATAAACACATCCCATCCGATCAGATAGCTTATAATCTTCCATACTGATGCGGAGACTGATTAGCGGCCGTTGACTTTGCTTGGCGCGCGCGCGGCGGGCCTCGGGCTCGGCTCAGCTCATCTCGCTCGCCGGAGTCTGGGCGAGGACGGACGCCGGGGCCGGGGGGCGGGGGCATGTGAAATGGCGGCGCTGGAGATCGCCTTCGCCGCCATCAGCGTCGCGGCCATCATCGCCATTGCCTACTTCCTCCACACGTGCTCGCGGGAGGCCACGCCCGTGCCGATGCCGATGCCGCCCGGCGCGGAGGAGACGGCGGCCGCCGCCGGCGACGTCGAGCTGCAGCAGGCGGGGATGGACGAGGCCGCGATCAGCGCGCTGCCCAAGGTGGTGGTGCACGCGAGCGGCGGGGAAGCGTCCTCGTCGTCCACGAGCTGTGCGGTGTGCCTGGGCGAGTACGACCGGGGGGACGTGCTGCGGGTGCTGCCGGACTGCGCGCACTCGTTCCACCGGCCGTGCGTCGACCAGTGGCTGCGCCTTCGCCCCAGCTGCCCCGTCTGCCGCACGCCGCCGTCCACGCCGGCGCCGGCAGCCGCCTCGCCGAGCCAAACGTGATCTCTTCTTTATTCTGAAACTCTCGAGATGTAAAGCAAAGTGCATGTATAGTTCTGTATACTTCACTCAAATACTTTTCGTGGGTATCCAGAAAATCGGTCGCATTCTAAATCACCATGTTTTGGTGATGAGGGCGAGCCAGCCGGAGAGAGAGAGTCAAAAAACTACATGCACCATCAAATCGGCACATCTCCAAACCATGTACTCCTACTTAACTACATACACACCTTATACAGTCAAAAAAAAATACATACACCATCAAATATTGGCAGCTTGAAAGAATTCAATTCAGACTGCCTGATGAACGAACTGTTCCATGGAGGATACACAGAAACCCTCATCATTATTCATTGGAGATAAACAGCAAACATACAGAGGGTATTTCAGGTCTAACAACACAATACAACACGGGTACATGATAAACAGACACGGACAAACAGACAACGGTATATATGTCCCTAACATTAACAAGTTAGACAAACAGACGATATGGTGGGGTGGGGTGGGGTACATGTATGTCGCGCCGGGCACGGTGACGAACGCCGGCGATACAAAATGTAACTAAATGCAGAGCCTACTTTACCGGTTCTCATCATCCAGTACCGTCAGACTGGCTAAATTAACATGCTTACCAGAGGCTGATTGATTACAATGCGAATGTTGAATGATCCTAGGAGACGGCGGCGCGGAGGAGGGGGCAGCTGCTTCAGGTGCACTTCACCGTCGAGGCGCCAGGCGACAGCTGCCCATTGTTGACGGCGGACGGCGACTCATTGGTGGCCGCACCAGGTTGGCTGTCTACTGCGGCAGCATCTGATTTGGTTTCGGATACTGCAGCAGGAGCAGGAGCAATAGCTGGCTCGCTGGGAGCAACAACTGAGTTCTCAGTTGGCTTGCTCGCTGGAGGGGCTACTTCCTCTGTCTTCGCCCCCTCCGAACTCACCAGAGGAGCTTCCTCTATCTTCACCTCCTCCGAACTCACCGGAGGAGGGGCATCAGCCTCAGATGGCTTGACATCTTCCTTCTTGTCTTCCACTGCTGGTGCCGAAGCAGCATCAGCCTCAGCTGGCTTAGCATCATCCTTGTCTTCAACTGCTGGTGCCGGAGGGGCATCAGCCTCATATGGCTTAGCGTCTTCCTTGTCTTCAACCGCTGGTGCCGGAGGGGCATCGGCCTCAGCTGGTGCCGGAGGGGCATCGGCCTCAGCTGGCTTAGCGTCTTCCTTGTCTTCAACCGCTGGTGCCGGAGGGGCATCGGCCTCAGCTGGCTTGGCATCTTCCTTCTTGTCTTCCACTGTTGGTGCTGGAGGGGCATCAGACTCAGTAGGTTTGACATCTTCATTCTTGTCCTCCGCCGCTGGTACCGGAGCGGCATCAGACTCAGCTGGTTTGACATCTTCCTTGTGTTCTGCAGGTGCTGGAGTGGAGTCTTCAGGCTTCCCTGCATCTTCACTAGGAGCAGCTTTCACCTCTTCAGCAACTTTCATCTCCACATCTGCGCTTTTTGCAGCATCATTCGCCTCGGCAGGCTTCATCTCCACATCAGTGCTCTTTGCAGCATCAATCGCCTCAGCAACCGTCATCTCCACATCAGTGCTCTTTGCAGCATCTTCACTAGGGGCCTCCTTGCCCGCTTCAGCTTCTTTGTCTTCTTCAGTTTCAGGATCCTCCTTTTTCTCTTGCTTCCCCTTCCTGCCACTTGAGTTCCTACTGCGCTTTGGTATCTTTTCACCCTGAGGGCTATCAAATACCTTCACTTTCTCGCTAATCCGAGCAGAACGCCTTGGGGTATCACCTGTTTGCAAAGCATTTAGATTCCAATCAGATTTGTGCAACCATGGACTCTCTACAGCCAGAGTTATCTAGAGACATATTGAAAGAAAACAAGGGGGAAAGGCATCTACCAGTTGACCAGTCAAACTCCGATGAAGTGGGGCCTCCAGGGTTTGCCTTCAGATAGCTGTTCAGCTGCCTCTTGTTCTTAATTTCCTCTCCAGTTGGTGAAACAAAAACAATCTCAGATCTTCCCCTGCTCTGGGGAGTAAACTGCAATAGTAGGAAAGAGGAGATGTTAGTTGATGCCACCGAATAGAGAATATTGGCAATGGACACGTTAAGTGTATGAAATACATGCTTAAAAAATACATATTTCTAACACTGGAAGCAAATTCACACCCAACAAAACATGTTGGAAATTAGAAAGCGCAGACAGAACAAACCTGTGTACTGCTTAAAGTTTAGTGATAGATTAACAATGTATGAGTGAAGGCAACCATCCTGTGTTTAGGACTTTAGGCTCCCTAATAATGTCTAATGTTACATGGCTAGATCTATTCATATTCAAGCATTGCCGTTTATTATTGCTATCCCATACGATATTCCCACTAATACACAACAAACCAAGTGAGGTAAAATCTCAACTCTAGCCTAATTTAAATAATGTCAGATGTATTATCAAGCACTGTTCCCACTTATACACAATAAAACAAGCAAGGGGGAGTCTCAACTCTAGGTTCACCCTTCTCTCTCAAGTTTTAATTGATTATTCACCACTGCAATCAATGCCATTATTCACCATAGAAGATTCAAGAGGGTAAAAGTTAACAATCTCAAATCTTCCCCAAAAAAAGAGAAATGCATATACCAGATACTTATATATTACAACCAAAAAATGGCATACAATCCCTAACACTTCTGCTTAAGTGATTAGATGCACAGTAAGAAAAACATATCAGGAATATAATTCAGTTGAACAAACACCACTGGAAAGGAAAAAATTCAAAAACTATCCAATTAGGGATTATTTTTGTATATTTCCAGAATTGGTTACATGAACTATGGTTTACCACCTATGCAAGCTAACAATGTAGAGTTACGTAAGTTCAACCTACTTCTGGTCTCTGGTCTGTGGATCTAGTTTCAAAGGTGATATTGAACTTCCATGATGTACATTAACAGACTATCTCCAGAAGTTTATGAAAACGAATCATGTCTCACGCATAAGGTTTGCTACTTAATCAATCTTGTTTGACATAGCAAAGCAAAGGCGAGACGCATAAAGGAATTATCTTCTGAAGTTGCAAGAATGCTTCAGTTCAATCTAAGAACTATTGGCATCAGCTCGTACAGTCAGCACCACATATTTCATAAATGAGTCTGAAGTGCACACATTCCTAACACAATGTCTATATTTTTGGAGTGCAGTCGCATATTATATACGCATAAAATGCAAAACCTTCTCAAGAAAGTGAAAACAGAAACACCACACATATGCTAAAAAGAAATATATGAATGTTTTTTTTAATTTCAAACAGAAGGCCCTGAATCTAATGTGAAATAATCTTATCCATCTCAAATCAAGAATCTTTAACTTAGGAAGTTACAAATGATTGGAACCAACATCATAATCATAAATTACAATAATAAAAATACTTGCCATCTAGGCTCTTTCAGAGCTAGAAGTCTAGAACAAAAAAATCACCTTTCAACACAAATTTGGCAATATAAGATATATCCAACGACTGCAAGCCATACCACGTGGCCAATCCTTATGCTACAAAGAGATTATGCCTTATCCACGACACGGTCCAATCATATTATGAAAAGGTAGGTACAAGCAAACCTATAATCAAAAAAGTAACTCCTTACCCTATTAGACAAATTAATTATGATAACATAAAGAGTTATGAAGATTCTGAAGTCACAACCAACTTTTTTCATTGAACCACACAAAACCTTAACATATGTCCTTATTATCCGGGCAGAAAATTATACCAATTGTCATATTATCCGGTGGATAAATATACCAATTGTCGTTATTATCTATCATAATAGAAACAAAACATGCTACAGAAACAACCAAATCACCGCCTAAGCTATTTAATAGATCCTGGGTGCTAGCGTGATCCAGTAGAAAGGCTAGGGAGTCTAACCGCCATAAACACATCTGCCAATGAGCTAGAAGTTGCTCAGTCCAGAAGCTTGGGGAATCTAACCGCCATAAAGACATCCGCTAATGAACAAAGACATGTACCTTGTTGAGATTTGCTGGTGCAACCATAGAAAATCACAAAGGCCATGAAAAAGCCAATGGACTAAGCACTCAAAACACTTGGTCATTGCATTCCCAGCCAACAGGAGAAACTCCAACTGGCATGGCATACCACAGGAGGCCTGTTGAGCCAACATCATGCTTGCAAAAGCGTGCACTGACTCAGTTCAAGCAATTTGTCCTGACAAAATGCCATGTCTAGATACAGCAAAATAAAAAACACAGTCTAACAAAGTTCACTAAAATCACATCGAATCAACTACCGAGTTAAAATGGGGACACTGAATCCAACTAAATGAAGCAGTACAAAACTGCAAATGCAACACAATTCTTCATGTAAACTCAATCAACTGAATCCAACTAAAACGTACAAACAGATGGACATGGAATTAAAATGGGGACACTTGAAGCCAGGCGGCTACTCTCATCCCACAAAGTGCAGCCCAGTTCCATGCCCAGGCAAAGTCGACCAACTGAATCCAATTCCCCGTTTCCTAGCCAGGCCAGGACACAGGGCCAAACCAAGCCCCTACCCCTTAACCACATGTTACCAACAGAATCGAGATTTGGGAATCGGCCCCCACCACCAAGCCGTGGGCCATGGCGCAAGCCCAATAGGCCCCAGGGACGCTAAACGCCCAACACCAACAGACCCGAAAGGGGACGGCACTGTTCACCAACCATTTCGGTGAGCTCACAGCAGGCGCATCCACACAGACGCGCAGCTCCAATCTAGCTCCGGAGAGACTCCGGTAAGACCGAGATACCACCACGAGCGCTGGCCAGCCAGCCATAGCACTAGTCCAATCGCGGCAGTGGTGCCTCACCAACCCCGAGGCGCCCAAACCCTAGAATCTGACCCCTAAATCTGCTAGAACCCTAGACCCCGGAACCGACGATTCCAGCTCGAATTCGCGCCCCACCGCCCGCGTCCCCGCGGCCCGGGGCCC